AACCAACCCCACCCCAAACTCATACCAAACCCAACCCCAAACCCAAACCCCAAACCCAACCCCCCTTCTAAACCCAAACCCACAAATAATTAAATTGATTTAACCCCTTTTTGCTCCTTAGTTTTGATAATTAACTATTGAAAGATCTGTTACTTATTTAAAATTATAATCTATTATGAAAATCAACATTCTAACTATTAAATTAAATATATTTTTGCTATTCTTATAATTAGTATGTTATTTGGTTGACTGTTTTAGGATAATGAAGAAGTTATGTTTTAAGACCCGAATTATTTAAGGACAACCCCAACCCTTCCTCTTTACCTAGTGTTTTAGTTAGTTTAATGATACAAATATTTACCCCAGCCCTAAACTTTTATGTCTACCCACACCCAGAAGCAGACCATATATGTGGACAGTATATCCCAGCTTACTGTCTTCAAATCTGATATTGTTTTTGTATCATTTATGGAAGGTGTTTAATCTGATATTTATGTGTCCTCACCTCCTTAGATTTTGTTATTTTATTCTATTTTTGTTATTCATAATTAGGAATAATTCCTAATATGCTTTTTGTAAGATTATTAAGATCTGAAAAGTCCTTTATTACAACTATTACAGTTATATTATTCCTCATAAACTCATCATTGAGATCAAATCTATCAGTAGGATATAAACATCCTATGAGTGATTTTCTTGCATTCATTTACTTATTCCAAAGTTACAGACTTTTTCATTTAGAAGCAATTAATTTTGTTTTCTTTTAGTAATGAAAACACTATTCATGTTCAGAATTAATGATTCATTGTTTTTATATCCCAAAAATGTGAAATTTTTTACATTTTAGCATCAAATCTGTTTTGTGTATTTAAATATATAATAATTCAGTAAAATGTGAAGGAAATTAAAATTGATTAAAGGTTAAATTTATTAGAATAAAACTATATTAATATTGATTCATTTCATTAAATCTGCAAAACGTAGAGATATTTTGACAGAGAAGGAATGAACTAATAAGAATGATGAGTGATGAAAGGTAAATTTCATCATTAGATTGTTGATTCATTTTTAGATTCTAATTAAAACGTATAACAAATTCATTTATTTTTGTTTTCAATAATTCTAAATATGTCAATCTTATTCTCCCTTTTCATTGTAGTCCAACAACCAGATTTCTAACCAAAAATATATTCAGCTTTATGTATGACTTAGAAATCCCTAATGAAATATAATCTTTTAAGAAAATACCGTGAAAAGTATTCATTCACCTCGACCCATTTTCCCAATTTTAATCCATCATCATCATACTATCCTTCACCACTAATTCATTTTATTATCAGAATCAATTTATTACACTATTTCAAAACTGTCGTAACAGGAATATCTAAACATAGTTTACCATTGTCCACACTTTTTATTATTTTGATATGTTCCTTTAAAAACCTCTTGACTTTTACTAAATTTATAATTTAATAAATTAATACTCATCAAATTTATCCCATAACTCAATCCAATTTTTATATTTCTATCCTTACAGGTCAAAAAACCCTTCACCACTGAATTATTTAACATTTAAAATTTACATATAAGTAAAGCCTCTGTCATCATCAAGCCTATACATAAAATCCAATCTATCAATTTTTATTCCATGTTTATATTATCCTTCGTATCTAACTTGACAATTACTAAGGTAAAATGAAAATTACTTACTAATTATTACTCTCACTTAATTCAACCCATTTTCCATTCTTAAAACCTTATTCGTCAAATTAACCTGAACAACTTTTATAGTATTGACAGATTACATCTTTTCTAAATTGCTCTCCCTATTATATCTGTAGGTAGTTTCCCATATACCATACTTATTCCCATTGGTATAATCTCCAAGATAGAAGATTTGAATGTAACTACTATTATATGATTTATGCTACTAATTAAAATTATCACTTAATTCTATCCATTTTCTAGTTTTTAAACCATTTACATCATACACTCTGCCTCCTCTAATAGATCAGTTGTATTATATATATAAACGTAAATATGTTCTCTTCCATAAAATCCCATAACCCTTATTTTTTACCATTTTAATATTCACCAACAAATGTTACTTAGGCCTCACTAATATTATAAATGACTAAATACATAGAATATCCTGAACTTAAATCAATCCATTTACCATTTTTTTAACCCTAGTTATTAAAATATCCACCACCACTAAGACTGATATATACTTAATTTACATTTATTAATTATCAAATATGATTTTCCATTTTCCAACTTTTGTACCATTAGCATATTCACCTTAGTAAGTTACTTAACTGTCCCTAAATTTATTAAAATATATAAAGACATTATTACTTGCAGAAATTATCACTCACATCTGTCCATAGACCATGTTTAGACCCTTATTCATCATAAAATCCTCCACCTCTAAAATATTTTTATTGATACATATCCTTTTCATTGTAGATATACCTCCAAGTTCCTCTTCTTTAATCATTTATATACTCTCCTATTTGATAAATTTAGACATTTCTAATCATAAGATAATTATTTGATTACTTTGAATAATAATCACTAATTTCTTTCCACTAACCAATTTTGTTTCCCTGCTGAGAGTAATATCCACCAACATCAGCCATCAATTGCCATCCCAATTAGCAAACCACCTTCCAACTTTCTTTTAATTCTCCCCATATTCACCAACCCAAATTAAATATTTGATTTAATCTAAATTTGTCAATCTATATGGCCTGATAGATACATCCTTGATGGAATCACTAACATTATAATATTTTTACATTCTTATGATTTCTCCATCTACTATATAAAAGATTCTGTGATTCATTGTAAATTTGATTGAAAGCTAAATAATTCTTGTAAAAGGGTATTAAAAACAATTGTAATAAAATTAGTGGCAATCTTATGGAATTCCTTGAGAAAACATCAGATCTAAATTTGAATCATCAGCAAAATTATTCAAAAAATTCATTTACTAATAATATAATTGAAATAGGGTTTTCTT